ATATATATATATATATACATATATTTTTATTGTACATATTTATATATTATATATATATATAAATATATACAATACTATACTATAATATATACTATACTATAGTATATAATAATATTTTGAAAATCAAAATGTTTAATATGTGTATAACAAAATTTATTAGAAAATTATGAATGCCCAAGTTATTCTAAGATTATGCATGTATTGCATGTATTATAGTTACACGAACTGTATGTACATTTTAAAAAGGATTTTGCTAGCAAGAAATAAAAAATGACTTCTTTAATTTAATTTATTTCAGATTAATACATATAACTGAACAAATTCGTGTGAGTTACATATGATAAGAACGTGAAATTTACATTATACAATTATATATTATTTACAATAATTTATAAGAAATTAAAGTTGATGGTTAAATTCGGAGGAATCGTAAATGAGAAATTGACATTTTAGCTTTTATCATTATTTAGATATAATAACAATTAGTAACGATATTGCGAATTTTTTATGACGGTAATAATAAGAAGAAGATTAGTAAAGTTAAATGTTATTTCTAACGGGTTGTAAGTCATTATTAAAAAAATAACTTTATTTGCAACTAATAATCTTTATTTGTTACTTCCAAAAAAAATTTGTCGAGGCGTTATTTAAACTACTTATTAGTTCCATCAGTAAATATTATTCGATAATCATAACATGTAATAGAAACAAGTTTTTTTTTTAAATAACTTTCTTAACTTTAGCACAATCTTAGCAATGAGTTAGTTATCAATATTTTTAGTCATAAAGAATGGAACGTTATTATCAAATTGTTAATATAAAAATTAATGATGAAAGTAACGCTTAGAAATTGTTTCCCCCAATAATATTCGATTATAATAGATAATTTAAAGTACAAGTAGAGACAGATAAACAAAATTAAAATTACCATAATACATCTGATTTAAATAGTTATAATTGTTAATATAATATTTAGTTAAGGCTAAAAAAAATTTTGAAAGATATGTTAAAATTTCGAAAAAACATATCGTTGATACAAATTTTATCCAGAAAATTCTAGCGATTGAAGAATTCCGTTAATTTTAAATTTAGTCTTGACAATGAAGGATAACTGTCAAAAATTTCAAAATTTACCGTCACGTTCAAAAAAATTTATCAATATGGAAACCAAAAATACTTAAGAGTCATTAATTCTGTATGAGAAACTGTAATTTGTTAATTTGAGAACTCTTTAATAAAACCGAATCTTACATATTTAATACTATAAGTATAGAATAAGTATAGATAAGTATAGATAATAAAATGTAATGTATGGAATTATTCTTTCATTTTTGTTCTGGTCCCCTTTAACCACAACATTTTTAGTGTAATTATCTATTTCAGAATTTTACTTTGAAAAATATTAGAATTCAAATTATGTTTAATTAAAGTAACCGAATTATGAATTTGTACTATGTATAAATTATGAATTTAGTTACTTTATCGATTTTTATTTCAAGGAAATGTAGCAAGATTCTACATTTTCAAAATCAAAGGGTTTAATTGTTAGAACGTTTCTCGAATATTAACAATTCTACAAACTCATTATTCAAAAAATATGTCAAAGGGGGCTTATAAAGTATTGTAATCTGCTATGGCACCCTCGTCACGATAATGTGCTACGTAACATTACATAAATTTCTGCTTTATATGAGAGAGAGAGTACATAATGACCTAGGTGTATATTAAAATGGTCTATAGATATAAAAAATATAGCGTATTGGAATTATGATTATAATTTATAAGGGTATTGAATGTTCTCCGCTACATTGAAGTAACCTTCATATTCGGTCGTATACGGTGTAGTATCACTAACAAATTGTCCTCCTACTCCATCATCAGAGAAACAATGGAACGCAAATCTATTATACAGATTCTAAAAAACGAACAATTAAAGAATATCGTTGGGATGTTTAAGATAAATTTTCGGATTTTAACAAAACTGTTGCATTCCATGATTAAATGATTGCGAAAGGTACCTCTATTTTAACTCAACTTAGTAATCACTGATTTAAATTTGACAGAAACGGATTGACAATAGTAATTATTTTAATTAATTAATAAACAATTAAATTTCTAATGAAATTTATCTGTGGTAAATAATATAATATGATAATTTAAAGAACAATGATTTTTAGTGTTCGCATAACTAGGATGAATAACTTACAACATTATAACGCTGTTCCTGAGCCCATAGTCTTGGCTCAGTGTTAACTATTGTGCCAACGGCTACCATATCTGACTCTAGATGTATCTCGGTGCAT